CACTATGGCACGGGGCAAGCACTATGGGCAGTCTATCTGAAGTGTACCTGGCGTATAAGACGACCCCCCACTTGGAGGCATATTTTTCAGCGCCAAAAAATCGTCTTATACGCCGGCAAATATGGTACATGACAATAATTTGATGGATTCCCACTTTTTATTTATTCTTTGAAATATTTACTTTAGAGTATAAAATCTAGTATCATTTAGCTATCACTTCTAAGAATGTGGCAAAGGGCCAGGGGTCAAAGTGTGCTTTTGCTATTTTATTCATCAACCTTCTTTACATGTTGAAAAGAATTTTCCAGTATATTGAATGGTGAGAAAGCAGCATAAGTTAAATAGGTATTCTTCCTCAATACTTTGGGGATTATCAAATTAATCCTATTTGTGTCTCAAATAAAATACTGAGATCTCTGTATGTAAATAGTTTCAACTCTACATAAAGATCAGCCACTTGTTGCTCCTTTTAAAATTTGACATTGGAAAAATTTTAATTGAAATCAAAATGTCAAAATAAAATACATGTTTAATTCAACTAGTCTACTTACTTTTGTTAAAGTTTTATGAATATTTGCAGCAATACAGGCATTATCTAAATGACAGTCTGCATTCACATTTTCTGTAGAAAAAGAAAATGTATAGTAAATTTTTAAAGTATTTTTCCTAAGATTATATTGTTTCTAATGATTTCTTTTAGTTATTTAAACATTTAAAACATTTTTAACATGTGAGTTTCATTTTCAGTTTTTATTTTATTCATTAAAATTCATTTCTTATTTTAATTATTCATTATTTTAAAAATTTTATTCAAAATAAAATTTATTCATTTTTATTCATTAGAATACACAATATTTTATGAAAAATGTAAGATTGTAATTAGCCTAAAGACTATAGCTATGTTAACTACATAAAACATGTGGTCTACATCTTCCATTAAATAAAACAATACTTTTTCTTATTTCATTTTAAGACAATAAAGGAATACTGGCACATTTCTTGACAGGTATAGCTCTTTGATACTTCACAATTGTGTACTACATATTTTGTATATCATATTTCCCCATGTATAAGATGCACCCTTTCTCGAAAAATTTGGGGTCTAAAAACTGGGTGCATCTTATACAGTGGTTGTAGATGAGGACAAGCTAATGGTTGGGCATTTTGACAGTGATGAAGAGTTGTATGAATTTTATGATGAATAAAACTTGAGTTCCATAACTTTATGTAATACATTTTTTTTCAAATTTCATGCCCCTAATTAAGGTGCATCTTATACATGGGGAAATACGGTAGTTTTTTGGTAATACATAACATTTAATAATATAATTTACCTTGGCAGTAAGTGCCATCATTAGGTGTGAACTGTGCATTTCCTGTGGATGCCTGATAACCTTCTTTGCAGGAGCAGTTATACCCACCATCCACGTTTTCACATACTGCATGATCACCACAGGCAGCTGATTCATTACACTCATCTATATCTAGAAATATTTGAAAATTAAGTTTTTTATTTAGTACTCATAATGTTGCTACACTGTAAATAATATTACATATAGTTAGTGATTTCATAACACATTCTATAAGAATGCAAGGAAAATCCCATCATTTTGAAAAAATGACAGAGCCATCTTAGTTGCATATATTTATTTAACCCTGATTTGGCCAATTCATTTTGACAATGTATTTAAAATATTATTCATGATCCAAACTCTTGGGCTGTTTTCTGAATAGCATGATTCATCAATAAAGTAATTTTCATCATTGATTATGTAAAATTTAGTCCTAATTTAATATAAAACCAATTTTTAAAATACGTTGCTTTCTAGTATTAAACTACATTTATTATAACAATTGAATTTAGATAAATCCGGAGGATAAAAAAGAGCAGCCCCCTTTCTTTCCAAAGCTTCATTTCTGCATGTAAGTTAACTTAAAATTCAGATGTAGCAGAATGTGTGATTCAACTCCCTTAAAATTTTACCACAATTTATTACTTTAGTTCAGGTTATATTTTGTTATGATTTGTAATGCATCCTCATCTTAGATAAAGCAACAAATTGTGCAGAATTAACTCTTAGATTTTCAGTAGCCATATTTCAAAGCCACAAAAAAAGTTATAGGTTTTAAACTCGCATACTTTATACTCTTAATCTAAAATTTTATATACTACAGTGAAATATGTCTTAAAGTAATAAATAAAGTATAAATACTCTGACAGTAGGCAGAGTTCCAATAGAGAATGATTCCAAGGAACTGAAGAGTACAGATTGTTCCTTTAAACTAATGCAAAGATTATTTTGTTCCCAGCCTCGCTCTGACATCTTGAGCTACTCTATGTTAGAGTAATGAATAAATCTGTACTCTTAAGTATACAATTTAATTTTAAACAACTAATAGAGTGGCACAATACCAATTGCCATAAAGAGGGGGAGTGATCATTGTCGAATTTAAAATACCATTTAGTTAGTTATCTTAAATATAGCTGATCCTAATTTTTCACTTTTAAAATGCAAAAAAGATACAGGAAAACATTAAAACTCATGCCACCAAGAACTGAAAATGACAATAACGTCTTGCCAGATTCTTGAAGAAATGTCTATTAGCTAATAAAGGTGATGGTACCAGATTTAAGAAGACAATTAAAAGTCCTGAAAAAAAAGGTAGAAAATCCCTTGTTCTTCTGCCAAGTCTATGTATTCCTGATCTGTACTACCCAGCAATCTGAGCACACTACTTTTAAAGAAATAGAAATGCTGCTCTAGCATCCTCACCCTCTTTCTATCATTTCTACATATATATGTTCAGAAACAAACAAACAAACAAACAAAAAAAGACAGAAAATAAAGTAGCAGATGAATAATTGCAGGTTGACTCTTGGAATACGGAGAACAATTGGGGAAAGTGTTCCAGGTTGTGCTGAAGAAAAGAAACCAGGTGGGAGTGCAGACTAAGGTTGTTATTTTTCATGAAATCAATAAAGTAAGAAAAAATATATAAGAAAGCAGAAGACTAGTCTTTTTTGGAGTAGTGCTGAAGAAGTAGTATGTGCTATATTCAAACAGGGAAAACACCCCAAAGAAGGTGTGAACTGAATGGTGAAGTAATGTAAAAAGAATAATTTCTTTCATGGATAAGAAAGCTAGTTTTTGAATAGCCATGTTTAATTTTGTGATGCTTTCTATGGCTTAACAGTAAACTATGTATTGATTGTCTCAATTTGAAAATTATTTAAAGGAGCAGCGTTTCTTGGGAAATTTGTTCTGCACCCAATCTTTGAGCAACATACAAATCTTGGCTCTACAAGCTCAATTTCCATCTTCCGTCCTGCACTTTGAACACAGGTGTACACAATCTTGGTACTCATAACCGACTGTGTTTCAACTTTCCTCCCCACCCTGTGCTGCTTATGTTGGGGTCCCTGCTCTAGTTTAGGCCCTTTACCACCACTCATTCAACTAGTCGGTATTCCAGAATGTCAGACTTACACCAAGTAAGGTATTTCAACTTCTGAATTCACCAATTAATAGAATGTTAATCTGTAAAAATGAGGTAGTAATCCTGGGAGACTAGCATTCAAAATAGGGATTATGCAAATTTTAATATTCTGACTCCAAGTGTTATAAAATTAAATATCCTACCAAAGTAATGTTTTTCAAACTTTAATCATCTCATCAAAGCAATGTTCTCCAAATTGTTTATACTTTTGTTTATACTTTTTATCCCCATAACTTTTCTCTAAAATGTGCGTGCTGAATTTGATATCCTTCTCACTCTAGGCCTCAGAAATAGAGTTTATTGAGTTTAACTTACTAATGAAATGTGCGGCTGCGACAACTGGCTGTGTGCCATGGTAGTCAAAGAGCTTCCACTATCCTCAGTTTGTCATTCTATGCCCCTTTGCTACCTAGTAATATAGAGAGAATCATAAAATACTGAAAAAATATCCCATGCCCAAATGGGATGAATCTGGCTTAGCCAAAATGAATGGGACTGCCATTTAGCAGCAAGGTCCACACTGACTTCTCTTGCAGTCTCTTGTAGGGCCTAATTGGCTTGGATCTAATAAAACCACTATGGCTCCTCCCTGACTGTATAGCACACATTAGCTTTATGACCTTGGGTAATACTATAAAAAATATCTTTTAACTCCAAAGTATTCTTTTTCATAACAAATGAGGAAATACATGGTGTTTGTAGTAGTGCCTAAGGTGTAGGAGGTACCTGATATTATAATTAGAAATCAGGTCCAGTGATCCTATTTATATGTTTTTGTAATAGCAGGAACTCTATGAATATGTAGGTTTGGAGAAAACAGATTGATAGCGAGCGTCTCATTGGATTGCCATGTCTTGATACTTCCCAGAGCGGTTAAAGAGAAAAAGAAAGCTCTCCCCAGTCTTAATGAAAACTAAATTGCTACTATGTAATTATTTCTGTTCGGTTAGACTTGACCTACCATATTTAATGACTGATCCACTTTTCCCACTACCAACCTAACATTAGACTTAATAATGCTCACTTTATTCCTGTAAATGTAGGCACATCATGGAAATCATTTACTTGTTTTCACATCAAAAAATTCATTTGTTACTTTTTCATTAATAAGGCTATGCCTTTTTTCATGTCTACAGTGAGCCAACCCAGAAGAATATTATCATAATTTTCTTTCAAAACATGGTCATATGAATGTTTTGATTCTTATAACTTTCATCAATAGCTGAAGTTTCTAAAGTTGTTTAACTCACAGACTGCAAAGAAAAGATAAAATGTTCAATTACTGGAAATAATTTGCAAAGACAAAATTGAATAATTAATGCTATTCAAAGCCAGGAAAAAAATCTGAAACTATCAGAGTAACTAAGGCGATAGGACATAAAAAAATTACAAGCAGCAAACGCAGCTCTTAAGCACACAGTAAACATGAAGGAGTTATTGGGTTCTACTCATTTGTCCTTGGGGAGTCACTTTACTAATGGATGCCGCAGTTTCCCCACTTGGAAATGCGAGTCTGAATAGAGGTCTCTCAGAAGCTGGGCATTTGAAGTTCTATTTTACTGTTATTCCAAGGGAAAGAAAAATAGGCATGGTGCTAAATCTCACTCAAAGCCTGCTGCAACAAAATTACCTTACCTGTGGAAAATAGTATTTGAATATAGACTAAAGGTAAAGAATTTTGCTTGGGTCATTTCTTGCCCTGAATTGGAGTTTTATCATTATCTCTATGTACAGGTTCTTAATGACTGTAATTATCAGACATGTCAAATTTAAGTATCAGCTAAACTTTCAAATCAGAGGTAGCACACGACAAGGTGATATACTAAAGTAAAAAAAGGGAATAGAATTATGTTCTCTGTTCACATTCCCTGAGGATTATCATAGTGCACAACAAAAATTACTACAAGACTGGAAGAAAAGAAATAGTTGTCCTGCTTCTCAAAAAAGCATAATCCTTAAGGACAACAAAATTGGTTAGAAATAACAATTTTCCAGAGAATGAGTTTTTCATTGAATAATCCATCAAACAAAACAGGTAGAAACTGAAGAACTCAGTACTGAGCATTGGGTTTTAATATAGTTATTGTGCTTACTGATTACTTAAAGTAGCTAAAAAGAGAACTAGCAAAAAATTAGGGCCACCGTTTCTCAATAATAAATGAGTATGGGGGAAAAGAGTTTTAAATTATGGTATATTACACCCCCAAAAAATGTTGGTATTGAATCATCTATGTGTGTGTATGTTCTCTGTGTCTGTGATTCAGTTTTTTTCTAATACAGGAATTCTCTATTTGTAAGGAACATGAACAGGGAAATATAGCCCTTTGTGAATTGAGCCATATTAAAAGTAAACATGATTAGAAGGGTAGTAGATTGGGGGGAAGAGGGGTTTTCACTTTGTGAGGGGTATAAATGTCTAACTACTACATTGTTTTGTACACCTGAAGCTAATAATAAGAAAAAGTAAACATGATCAAATTAAAAAGAAAGATGTCTTCTAGAGACAAGTGGGTATTAAGAGCACAGTTACAACTGTATTAAATTCCAGTATTTCAGATGTCACTAGTTAGATTCCTTCATGAACTGGAACGTTTCAGTAAGGCTTCCAGAGCTACATAGTTAGAATTTAACTACTAAAGGTAAAGTACGCATATTAAATAATATTCTAAGACAAGCAACAGGCGTATAAACTGGAGAAGAACAAATAGTGAGGCGCTGTAAGTTTCCTGGGCAGAACTTCGTGTTTATCCTATGTCCTGAATATATTCTAAAGCTATATTCCAATAAAAATGTTTGCTGCAAACCCTAAAGATAAAATTATCATTCAATGCAAATAGTATTGCATTTCATATTTTAAATCGTTTACGCCCTTGCAAAGCTTGATCTACTACATTTGCATGATTCAGAGCAGTGTGTGAGATTTCAACAGCCAGCCCACTTCAGTCTCCTGTGGAAATGACAGTGGCTTGCTTGATATAAGACGATGATTCTAATCCCCCTTTTATGCCAAATGAACTGGGAGTAGCCTTGCACTCCCCTTGGCTATAAAAAGAGGAGAATAAAATCTTTACTGTTTACACAGCAGAGTAAATGTTAGGAACCATAGGTACATGAGACATGACAATTTCTTTGATACAGAGATTTGGGTGATAAATTTTCTTTGAACATTATCTCCTGACTCATCATGTTGTTAGTAATAACATTGCCAGACTTCTCCTTAGCTTACTGATGAGAATCTCACTGGGGATATAATCAAAGGCCTTAGTGTGATCCACATTTACCTGGATCTCTCTCTTTTCTCTAACTAAGTAAAGTAGAAACAGCACGTTATTCCTGTGTACAAGTCCCCCATCTACTCCAAGCTATGCGATTTAACTCTCAGGGCCTTAGTTCATCTATTAATCTTGTAAATTGTATCAATCATAATTAATTATACTATAATAGTTGTTGGTAAACTGTGCAATTTTTTTTATTAGAAACCATGCTTTATAACTTCTTTTCAAAGTTAAAGTTTTTGGCTTCAGAGAATTTGCCTCTGAAAAATTATTCATCTTTCGAAGTTTCTGAATAATCATTTTTTTCTCAGACTATAATCCAAATTCTATAGGCACTGATAAATCAAATGTGTGACCAAATTACAATAGAAGGACAGTTGAAAATGTCTTCTAGATACTCTTTTCAGACTCAGCATGATATTTCATTTAGGGATTGAATTGAAATTATTATCCCTCAAGAAGACATTTTAGTGAAACTGAAACGATTTTCTTAATAGGACTCTAGTGTTCAGAAGAACTTAATGTAGATCTTAAGTGTGAAAAAATTCTGGCAGAAAGGAGTAAAGCACGAGGGAAATTCTTTCATAAGGAATGACTATTTGAACATATTCTAAGGAAATGTAGAGTCCATCTCAGCATGCATATTTATAAAAGCATCAATATCTTGTGATGAAAATCATAACTTTTTTGAGCTAGTATTTAAAGTGTAAATATTTATTCTTTTGTCTGTCCCCATGCTAGATCTCATAGCATCATGAATTTTGTTTGGTAAACTGATTTTTCTCAAAAAAACCTTTTATATCCTTGGATAAATATTCCATAGTCATTGATAATTATACAACATTACAGAAATGAAGGAATTAATAAAATTTCTGAAAATATTTAACAACTAGGGTATAATCAAGGACTGGTAGCATTTGGTTTGAATTTTTATTTAATCTCTGGAGGTAATAAGCAATGAGATAGAAATCAATTTGAAGTAAGATAGTTGACTTACCTATGCAGATGGTTCCATCATTAGTGATAAACCTGTCTTGGTTACTGCTGGATCTAAAACCCGCTGCACACATACAATAGTAACTTCCCTCTGTGTTAGTGCAGTTAGCATTTTCACCACAGGACTGGGTTAAATTTCCACATTCATTATCATCTGTGGAAATATAAATTTAAAACATTATTTTTCTATGATTGAGGTGAATTCCTAATATTTTTCCATCAGTATTTGGGAATTTTGACTGTTAAGTAGTTTAAAGTAATGCAAAGTTTATTTCTAAGAAAAGTCAATACTGAAGAATCCACATTTTACACTTGTTTTATTCTTACTTATAATGTGAAACCTTCTTTGTAGTGACAAAGCAAAACAGAATTTCTTCCTTCAAAAGCACTCAATATAGCTATTGAATCTATACTGGAATATATGAAATATATTTATATGTAATTTAATTATAATAGTGTCAATAAATATGTACTAATTTGTGAATATACAATATAATACTCTTTATAATCAGTCAAAAGCATACCATAAGTGAAAAATGAAAAATCAGAGCTTGTAAATTGACATGCTGTAATCATATATCATTTATTTTTATCACTTATTCCTTAGAACAATTTTGTATTACTATGTCTGCATCTCTTCATTTATTCATTACTATATGCATTATATTGTCCTATGTAAGAGTATACAAATATAAAAAAATTATATCATGGCCCATAGTCTTTACCTTTATACTCTTATAACACAATTTACCAGAAAAGATATAAATTCATAAACCCTTCGGTAAAATCAGAAAGCAGATTTATATTATGTATCAAACAAATGAAAATAAGTGCTTCTCAGAACTGATTATGATGGGCTGGAGGAGACAGAGAATATTTCCAGGTGACATTAAACCCTGTTGTCAGTTGAACTGTATCTCTCAAAAAGCTATATTCAAGTGCTAATCTCATGTCTATGAATGTAACTTTATTTGGAAATGTGACCTTTGCAGATGTAATCAAGTTAAAATCAGGCTGTATTGGATTAGGGAGGCCCCAATCCAAAGATTGGGGAATTTGGACACTGAGACATAGAGGGGAAGGCTATGTGAAGATAGAGGCAGAGACTGAAGTGATGCAGCTATAAAAATGTCAAGGATAGCTGACAACTACCAGAATCTAGTGAGAGGAAAGATTCTTCCCTAGGCTCTTTGGAGGGAGCATTGTTCTTCTTACTCCTTGATTTCTGACTTCTAGCCTCCAAAACTGTAAAGAGAGTAAATTTGTGTTGCTTTGAGCCACTGAGTTTGTGCTAGTTAGGGAAGCCACAGAAAACTAATAGAGCCAGACTGGTCAATCTAGGATAGGTAAGTATTGATTACATAGAGAGAAGGACGGTCACTAAAGAAAGACGACATATTTGACAAGGGTGCAAACATAAAGGTGAATGAGGTATTTCTGAGGGTAGAGGGAAGCCTAATTGAGGAGCACAGAGAGAAATCATGGGAGAATAGGTATAAAAACCAGCCAGGTTTGAAAAATGTCTTGAATTTTAATTTTCCATTTTAATCAAACCAAATTTTTAAAGGATGAATTTGTGTAACATTTAATTCACACATGGGCTATTGCACATATAGAGTGATAAGTAAGAGTTGGAGATGTTTTTCAAACGTTTTATAAATATTAATTCACTTAATCTTTACATAAGCTCCAGGAAATAGGTACCATTATTATCCTCTCGAACGAATGAGGGAAATAAGGCATAGAGAGGAAAAGTAATTTGCCAACGTCCCACAGCCATTTAGTTGCAGAGCCAGGTATTTTGGTTCCAAAGCCTGTTCTCTTAACTGTTTCATCCTGCTGCCTCTGTGAGGATGATTTTAAAAAGCCAAAATATATAAGAATGTATCTAATGAATTATGGATCTGTTTTAGGAGAAGAAAAGATATTGAAGTAGTGATTTCAGAAGGAAAATGAAAATTTTATTTGCATTCTACTTTTAACTCAAATTTTATTTCTACTTATTCATTTTCAAACATTAAGGCTATAAGTATAGAAGGTGACATTTGGCAGACAACTGTAGGAGAATTCTTTTTTTCAAAATGACTACTATGGACAGGTTAGGTGGGATTTGTAAATCTTAGCCTTTCAAGATATTCAACCTATATAATTCTCCTCCATAACTTTAGTATTCATATTTTACCACTTTGACTTATTATTTTAATTATAATAGGCTAGCTGCTATAAATACATACAAACATATAATGATTCAGCACAATAAAAGATTACTTAATATATATATATGTGTGTGTGTGTATATATATATATATATATTTTGATAATAAAGACATTTATAAAGAATCTATAATGTAAGATCTCCAAATGCTCCAGGATTTCATTAGTATGGGTAAAATATTTCTATACTAAATACAAGAAGAAATAAAATTATTTTCCCCATAATTCAGTTTTAAAAATTCCAATAATTTAATGCTGCTTATTGTAATTCTTTGAAAGAATGCTGAAAAGAAAGAATAAAAATCATTTATAATTCTATTACATTCATCCTTTGGGGCACCTCCGTTTTAAAGTTAATTCAGATGATGGAGAATATCCACTTTTGTACATGACTTAAATGGTACCATTATTGTAACATTTTTTTCTTAAGAATTATTCCATGTTAGTAAAAGTTATCCAAAACATTAATAAAATGATGTTATTTCATTTTATGATATAGAAAAAAATTATGTAATTTACTTCAGAAAAGATCTCTGGAAACAGACTTTCAAATATTTCAGACCTGGCCTTTGGACTTTTTGGTATTCCATGAGATCCAAAGCTCAACAAATGTAAGATTTTCATTACTACAAAGATTTTTTTCAACTCAGATCTATCTCGTGGTAAGACTGGTAAGACCCTATGTTAGAATCCTTTCCTAAGTTTGAGGCAGTCCTGCCCCTAAAGCAAAGGAACTCAGCATTACCTAGAGTGTCTTTTGCTCTGTGCACACACCCAAATCTCTGCTTTTGGCACACTACCATTTCATTTGCTTTGAAAAACCAGTCAGCCCTTAAGAAGAGCATTTTCTCCAAGGTCTAGAACAAAGGTAGGCTAGGCCTCACCCCTTTTGTTGTTGTTGTTGTTGTTATGGCATCAGGCCTCTTTTTACCTCACCATAAGGCGCCTCTCTGATATTTTGAGTTCCAATCTCTTGACCCCTTGAAAGTTCTACTCTCCGGCATGTGGCCTGATACATTCTTGGGTGACTAGGTAAGCTTCAAGAAAAGAGTTTTGAGCTCCCCCTAGAGGCCAACAACTTGGAGACATGTAAGAACAAAGGTTGAGCTTTCAAAAACTTGTATAGGCCAGGCAGGTAGGTATTAACGTTTGACTTCACCAGGTGCCAGACAATAGAATGTTGGTGTGGCTTATGATAGTGGGAAGTTCACACCACAGCTAAAGACTTAAAATTTAAAAAGCATATTTAAAACACTTTGTTCAGATTTAGCATTTGGCCAAGCATTTGTCACCCCAAGCTAAAACATATGGAGGTTGGAGGGATTGAGGAAAATAGCTGAAAATATAATAATAAAGTAAGATAAATTGTAAATGGCCTTAATGTAAAATGCTGAAGTGTTAATACTTTATTAACATGTGTATATTTAGTTATTTATCTCTTTTTGTGTACAGTGATATATTATGCAACTCTAATGACTATATATATACATATATATGCAAATATATATGTGTGTATATATATTTATATTTATATATATACATACATACAGATAGGAAACATATAGCTATGTATGCATAGAAAAGAAATTAAACTAATTTGTTAAAATTAACTAAGAGTGGCTCACAAATTGAACACAAGCATCTAAATGAAGCTAAAGGAATATGTTTCACACACATTGGGTTTGATTCAATCATTCAGTTACTCAAATATTTATGGAATTTCCCAGTTCCCAAATGTGAATATGTCTATACTGGGAAATAAGTAAAAATTAATCAAAAAGTCAGAATCTGTGCCCTGCTGTCAGAGTTCACATTTTAAAGCAAGTTAACACAGGAGCATATAATTGAGTTCTTATTAAAATAAAAAGTTTCAATTTTGATCTCAAAATTTGACTCCCTTCATAGCATACAGGGAGAAGTTTATATTAACTTTAAAAGGAATTGTGCTCTCAGATCAGTTATTGGTAGTACAGAGAATGATGAAGACTGTCTCCCTTGTGGTCTATAGCTGCAAAAATGATATGCAAAAGTACAGCAGAAAAAAAGACTCGCTAAGTCAGAGGTATTGGTCTGAGTCCAAGAAAATGAGACTTTATATCACTTGATTGTGTTTCTAAAAACAAATTAACATGCCAATATGTTATTTGACTCCAACACCTTTTTAAAAGTCTTGGTGACATATTAATAGGCAAAACAAAAAGATTGACAATAATTTTTGTGTGTCTCTACTGTGTGATTTTGAGCATTGACCTCTTAACTTTATCAAGAATTTGAAAAAAAAAAAATCTCCCAGTCTTCTGAACTGTATATACAATATAGACAAATTCCCTAACGGTCTGACTCAAATCTTGTTCCATAAAATACCACTTATCTGAAAGTAACCTCCTCTCTTCCCCTAAGATAGTGGATGGAGATAGGCAAGAAATTATCTCTGTGAAGTAATATATAAATTTGAATTATTTAAATTGCCTTAAACTTTCCCGTGTCCAGCTTCATAATAAATAATTTTCAAGGAGAAAGTTTCTTTGGTTGGGGATAATATAGGAAAATAGAAGCCTGCTTCTTTTGTGCTCTTATTTCCATTATTAAAATCAATTTGTCAGTTTTGCTACCAACTATCTGTAGCTCTATCTTTAATCCTTCTTGTGGGATTATAAAGTACATATTTAGGTTACGATGCCACCTGTAAAATTCATTATGCTACAGTTCAAATGGAGATATATTTTTTTAATTTTATCAAAAACTGTTAATACGGAGAAGTATTGGGCTGTCGGAAAAGTCGTGACACATTTTTGCAATGAAAAACATAGAAAAAATACGTCATGACTTTTCCAACAACCCAATATTTGACATTCTTTCAGCAAAAATTCTTACTGGCACATGTCTAACACACTGGGTTGAGAGCCGCATTAACAAAGGCGTACACACAGCCTGTAACAT